ATTAGGGGTACGGCCCCGAGGGGGGTAAGACTCCACCCTTGGAGTAACGCCTTCAAAATTAACGATGTCAGGCGCTCAGTCGTTAGGGGTACAGCCCCGAGGGGTGTAAGATTCTGCCCTTGGAGCAATGCCTTCAAAATTAACGGGCCAGGTGCTCGGTCATCATATACTCGGTCCCGAGGGGTTTAGGACCCAGAAGCAAGTTCAACACGAGTTTGCTCATTTTTCATTTATTAAGAATTTCTTTTTCCTTATGGATTGATCCTTTAGCAGTCGAAAAAGGGAAGATAGAACACGTGCTGGGAAAAAGAAGTTTCATTACATTCAAAAAAGGGGTTTTGCGTCCCCGGGGTGTACAAAGAAGGTAAACAAATAAATTACAGAACCAAGTCAAAAGCACAGGACATAGAAGTTACACAATCCTCGAGCAACTAAGAACTCTCGGCTCCTTCGTCCCCGACATCTCCCCTACCGAGGTCACCATGCCGCCTTTGTAACTCCCCTCTAACCCCCAATATCTCGTCAAGTTCAGTATCATATCCTCTAGTGATGATGGGGGCAGAGGAGGAGGAAGGTTATCTCCTTGTTCGGCGGGTGAAAGGGACGAAAGAGTAGAAGAAGGCAGGTCGAACCGTCACTAAGGGTGATGGGTTCATTCTCACCCTTGGCCCCAGCCGCCTCTTCAACCTAAACTTGCTCGCTTGGATCGGCTTGTACTTGCCCCTCAAAAACCTCGTAATCGACCTCCCTTCGGAGGCTATCCATGGCAAACAAGTCCGAGCCTACCACAACGTGGCAGGCGTGAAGGGCAGCATCCCAACCTTCTTTGAAAGCTTTTTTCTTGGCTTTCTCGAAGGCGAGAACCATCTAGTCTTGGGTGGCCAACCACACCTTTTGGTACTCCGACTCCAGTCTTTCCTGCTCCCCCGTCTTCTCTGCTGTTAGAGAGTCCACTTTGGCAGTTAGATCATTGATGACGGACTCAGAGTCCTATAGCTTGACCTCAGCGGAAGAGACTCAGAGCTCATACTCTTCGACCTTTTTGACTGCCGCAGCCTCACCCGCCTTCGCCTTTTCTAGCTCAGCATCAAGGGCGTCGCGTTGACGGATGAGCTCGGCGATGTGCCGAGTCTGTTCATCGAGGGTCTTCTCCACCACGAGAATGTGTTCATCTTTGGCAGTCACAGCTCACTCGGCGTTCCTCATCGCCTGCTTGTACTCCCAAAGACGCTCGATGATGGCCCCCACCTGTTGGATGGCCTAAAAAGATAAAGGACTTGAGTCAGAAATGGCCAAGTATACGGTAAGGAATACTTGAAAAATCATCCCACTTACCACCAGGTTACTTTGGATGGTGCTCATTAAGAACCGGTTGTCTATATAGCCTTTGTACACGATCATATCAGCTTCGAATTGAAAAGTCCCCGCGACAGCAAGTGCCACGCCGGGGTACTGGAGGATAGAGTCTGCCTCCAAGATAGGGCGGCCCCACCTGGTTTTCGCTCGGGGGGCCCATTCGGCGAAAACGGCAGGGCTTGAGGCATCTTGTCGGCACTTCACTCGGCGCTCTTCTGACTCCTCGGACTCCAGGGCACGCTGGTCCCTCTGTTGATCTCTAGAGGGGGGACTTGGTGAGATGGGGCCCTTTGCCTTGGCAGGCACGACCGGGTCCCTGGATGGCTGAGGACGCGGTGGCGACAGAGGTGGTTGTCGTCAAGAGAATGATGGGGGTCATGTTGGAAGACCCAGCCAGCCCGACGAGCCTGGCTCTCCTAGCTGCTGTCACAGCCTCCATTGTTGCGACAATGATTGGTGGGTTTAACATTTCTTCAGAAGGGGCAGAGGGCTCGGCAGAAGTGCGCCCAGACTCTTGTTCTGAATCTTCCTCTTCCGATGAAGAGTGGTCTTCCCAAAGAGAGGGGTTGAATGGCGGGGAGATCTGGGAGAATCTGTTGTACATCGGCACGTAGCCGAGCAGTGTATGTGTCGCGCGCTTGACAAGGTCATGGGACCAAACTCTCAAAAGGTCCGCAAACCTGACTTGAGACCTTAGGAGTTGATTTGCGTCCCGACGATATCCTTTTACAAAAACAAGTGGCCAAGGTGAGTACCAATAATGGCAAGGGATTAAACAAGTCCAGAAAAGGGCAAAACACACCTTTATCTCTCAGCACTTTGGGGCAGTACAATCCGACATACTCGGACCCTTGTCATTTCTCCTAACTGCCACTGAGCATGATCAGATCATCTACATACCCCTTGTCCAAGTCGGACATGTAGGTTACTAGATACATTGAGGTATCCCGGGCTTGGAGGTAATATCCCCCTCCCCCGCGACAACTAGCCTTAGGTTATAGCAGAATAAAATTTTGTCTATCCCTAAGTTTGTCCCTAGCCAAGCATTCAAGGCGACTACGCCTATCACAATCCTAAAGAAATTAACCCCGCATTGAAAGGGAAGAGTTTTAGTTGCATCAACATCTTCAACAACAAGGGGTAAAGAGGGAAGGTTAACCCCCCTACATTATGACCTTGGTCCAGAAAGGCATAATGTCTACGCTTCCCATGTCCCTTCTATGGTGGGTAAGGTTGAAAGGGAAGGTGAATACGGGCTTAGGGATGTTGTATTTAACCCAAAAGGCACGGATGTTTTCATCAGTCACTTGAGTTCTCCTCAGTTTGGGATTTGACCTAACCCTAACTGGTACCTCCCACCTAGCTCTACTGGTTCTAGCCATTTATGGGTTCTAAAACGAAGAAATGTGGAAGAAATGAGAAAGAAGCTCGAGAGGAAGTACTTATAGGAAGGTGGTCTTCGAAGAGGGAACTAGGAGGAGAACGGAAGGAACTCGGAGGAGAACAGAGGACTGCTCAGGGACTGATTGTTGAAGGGAAGCTGAGGATGCAAAAGTTCTGAGAAGGCATAAGCACCTCCTATTTATACTATTTTGCAAGGGGCGGGAATCAAAAAGTTGAGCTATCATTATTGGATTTGAACAGGGCAACGCCAGACGTGCAAGTAACCATCGCTATTTAATAAGGTGTGTCTTCTGAGCCTCCAACCTCTTTACGCCACCTGTCCCAAGCCGCAAAAAATAATGGAGGCTGGGGGCAGTTGGGGAGACTTTGAGTAGTCCTACGGCCCTCATACTGACACGTGTGAAGATGGATCCATTGCAAATGCCCGATAGGCGCCGAGGAGGTAAGTCAAAAGATAACGGCTCGAAGGAGCCGAGTAGAATAGTTGGCACCGCATTTAATACGACTTGATTACTCATTTATGGCGATATAAGTGATGGTGACCAGGTATTAATGAGCGCCTGCACATTCAGAGTCTGAGCCTATTATCATGATGGTTAGGCATAGATGGCTAGTACGCGTACACGTTCGGCTCCCCCTGAGGAACTATACCCCTGAGTATAGCTGCGGGTGTCAGACGCCGATCTGAGGGATGTGGGTACTCGGGGGAAAGCATAAATGCTCGGCATAGAGCCAGCACTCGTCCTATCATCCTAGCATCGAGTAGGAGAAGACTTGAGTGGCTAACACTAATTGTGCAAGAGGAGGTGTGCCAGACATTAAATGTCCAGATGGGACTTGAGTCCTTGGGCAATCATTGCTAATACAGGTATAAATACCCCTCGGAAAAATAAATAAAGGTACGCATTATTAAACCAAAAAGTATTGGATATTCATTGAGCTTGAACCTCTGACCTTACACTGACTCAAGCTTCGGAGGGGATAAGTCGAGTGTTCACTTGGCCCACTTTTTCTAACCCTGTGGCTGTTGTAGGTTCACCAGACTAAAGGTCGATATTTCAAATTATTGTAGGAATTATCTCGTGCAACAGTTAACACACACAAACTATGAAAAACACTACTTAATTTTTCAAGAAGCTAGTGTAATAGTGTGATAGCAAATAGTAAATCCTCAAATACTCTAAAACTTTGAAAATTGGTACTCAGTTCACAAAGTTAGGGTAAAAGTATGACAACAAAGAGCAAATTTACACAAAAACACCCAAAAATAATAAAAAAAATATACTCATTTCATATAGTCACCAAAATAGTGTGATAATAAAGAGTGAATTCGCTCATAAATATAAAATCTTCAAATTGCTACTCATTACATATAGTTTATAAATAGTATGTCAACAAAAACAAATTTAGACATTATCCCAAATTTTGAAAATTTATCCAAACTGAATTTTTAAATTTGCTATAGAGTGACTTCATAGTGTGACACTATACATAAATTTAATGTAAATGATAAAAATTGATAGAATAAAATTACAATTTTAACATACATTTGATTTATCTTAAAAGATTATTACATAATTTCCAATACAAATAGGGTTTATGTAATATAATTTTTTTTAATTTTTTTTTTTGGGGGAAAGAAAGAAGACGTGAACCTTTGACTTAAAAAGGGCAGATTGTTCACAATACAAGAAATATCATTGAACCAAAAGCTCATTGGTATGTATTATAAGTTTTGAGGGTTTTAAGTAAAATAAATAAATAACAAACAAAATCCTTACCGCCAATTGTCGATGCTAACAAAGTGAAGTTGAATTTCTTTACTTTTTAAAGAAAGAAACAACGTTCGCTGATCCTAAATAGAAATACTAAATCGTTGTATCAGAGCAATTATTTTGTTTTACACAAACTGTTGAAATTGTCCTCAATATAGGACTCTGTAATTTCTATAACAATGTAACCTATTTTTTTTAATTAAAAAAAAGGAGTCAACAACTCCATTGTAAATCAGAAGTAAGATCAATAATCCCACTTTTAAAAAATATCGCAGTCTAATTTCAAAAATATTGTGTATAGATAAATAAGTTTAGAAAACAATTCTATTGCGGTAAATAACTCAAACAAGAAGACCACTAATGTAAGCTACATGGCATAAAATACTTACTTTTTAAAAGTAAGTCAAAGTGAAGACCAAAAATCTAGAACCTCACGTAGGACCCACCCCAAGAACATTTCACTACTCATCGACCCGTAGGATTCATGATCTTTGATAACAGAGTCCTATTTTTTAATTTGTCACTGTTGGCCGTTGATCTTAACACGTTTTCATCATCGTTGGTCGTTGATTCTCCATGCAGAGGAGGAATAGAGAGACTGGCCAACGCTGCCGGCAGTAACCCACTCATCTCAGCCTCCTCTTGAAGTTGCAAAGCAAACTCAAGGCCCCACAAAACATTATTTATTCCTGATCGTTTGAACCCATTTTTACGCAAGTAACTATAACCTAATTCGCCAAACTTCTTTAAGCACTCTGGCGCAATCTCCTCCCTTATATTAGGATCAACAATCTGATCAAGGGTCCCATTTTTATAACAATGGCGAGCCAACTTAGCCAAATTCACTTGTTCCTCTGGTAAATCTAGAATTATAGCCAGCCTAGCACATAAAACCTCAAATAAAACCACCCCAAATGAGTACACGTCCGATTTCTCTGTCAATTGTTATCGTTTATAATATTCTGAATCAAAGTATCCAAAACTACCCTTCACCATTGTGTTGACGTGGTTATGGCCCGCATCTATGAGACCTAGTTTGGATAACCCAAAATCAGAAATCTTAGCCACCCATTTCTCGTCCAATAAAATATTTGTGGACTTCACATCACGATGAATGATTGTGCGTTTCGCACCTGTATTGAGATAATGCAATCCCTTTGTTGTACCAATACAAATCTTAAGGCGTTGCTTCCACGGAAGAGGTGGTTTCTTTGATTTGTAAAGATGATCACAGAGGGTCCCGTGGGCCATATAATCATACACCAAGATCATCTCATGGTTGTCATTACAGTAACCGATCAACAACACGAGATGGAGGTGTCTTAGCTTCGATAGCAACTCGATCTCTGTTTGGAACTCGCGGACCCCCTGATTGGATGATGGGTTCAAGTGCTTGATCACAACTGTGGTTGCACTGTTGTCCATGTGGCCCTTATACACATTACCAAATCCTCCTGCCCCAATGACAAAATTGTCATCGAAGTTGCATGTGGCTGATTTCATCTCCTCCAGTGAAAAGCGTCTGCATTGATCGAATGATAGTGATAAACTGCTGGATAAGGGGATCCGCGACGACTTGGGCTGTTTTGAAGCCAAGTCTTTCACTCCTCTCCGTCACCGAAAAACCAAGAAACCAAAGATCAAGACTAGAACAAACCCTCCGAATACGCTGCCAATAATGTGTTGGAAATAAGAGAGACAAAGGCACCAAGAGTTTGAATACAGAGTAAAAAACAGAGAGAAGAAAGAAAAAAAAGCTACAGCTTTATCAATTCAAAATGGAAGAAATACTCTGCAATTCTCATATCATTAAACGGCTGATTACACCCTTTATTTATAACCTAAAACCATAACCACAATGCCTATAAAGTAGCAACTAATTCCTAAATAAAAGCAACTACTACAGACTAAGTCTTCTGCAACTCCTCTCCTACTTTCTAGTTAACAGTTAAAGACTAAATCAACATAATTCTGCTAACTTAATTAATCACGTTCTGCATCAATTCTTATCACTCCCCTTTGATGCGAAACTGGAAACATTGAGTGAGGACCGAAACTTCACGAACTTCGAATATGAGAGTGCCTTCGTAAACCCATCTGCACTTTGGTCATTGGTTGAGCAATGCTCCATCATTACCATGCCTTTAGCAACAGCTTCTCGAATGAAATGGTGTCGGAGTTCAATGTGCTTTGTTCTCCCATGAAAGACCGGGTTCTTAGTCATAGAGATGGTGGCCTTGTTGTCACAATAAATCTTTGTGGTTGCTCCTTGAACTTGATGTAAATCCTCCAAAATTCGCCGCATCCAAATTGATTGACACGTTGCAGATGAGGCTGCTATGTATTCTGCCTCTGAAGATGATAATGCAACACTTTCTTGTTTCTTTGAAGACCATGACACAGCCCCCGAGCCAAGAGTGAATATAAACCCACTCGTGCTTTTCCTATCATCCGCAAAACCTGCCCAATCACTATCAGTAAAACCAATTAAACTGAATTCAGCAGCTGGTTTGTACCAAATCCCATAATCGCTAGTTTCCCGTACATAGCGAAGGATTCTCTTTGCTGTTCCGAGATGATGCATGGTTGGTGTATGCATGAATCTGGACAGTAGACTCACAGAAAACATTATATTTGGGCGGGTGTTGGTTAAGTACATCAGTCCGCAATTATGCTCCTGAACATTCTTTCATTGGCCCTTGCAGTCCCATCTTCCGCACATAGCTTCTCATTTGGGTTCATGGGAGTAGACGAGGTTTTACAACCCATCATATTAAACTTCTTCAGCAATTCCCGTGCATACTTTTCTTGGCAAATAAAAATTCCTTCATCTGTTTGCTGAACTTGGATGCCAAGAAAGTAATGCAAAGACCCCAAATCTGACATGTCGAATTCCCGCATCATGCTGACCTTGAATTCCTTGACAAGAGTGTTAGAAGATGATGTATATATAATATCATCTACATAAACACATATAATGAGAATATCACCAGTACATGTCACCTTCACATACAATGTCGGCTCACTATCACTTCTATGATACCCATTTTGATGAAGATAAGTATCCAACCTGCTATACCAAGCTCTTGGAGCTTGCTTGAGTCCGTACAATGCCTTCTTAAGCTTGTAAACTTTCTCCTCTTGACCTTTGACTATAAACCCCTGTGGTTGTGCCACATACACATCCTCTTCCAAAAAACCATTTAGAAATGCAGACTTAACATCAAACTGAAATACAGGCCATTTATGTTGAGCAGCTACAGCCAAAACAATTCGAACCGTCTCAAATCTTGCTACTGGAGAAAAGTTCTCAATAAAATCAGTACCTTGTTGTTGCACATACCCCTTGGCAACGAGCCTTGCTTTATACTTTTGCACGGTTCCGTCTGGATTGCATTTGACCTTGTAAATCCATTTGACGCCAATCACTTTCTTCTCACATGGCAAGTCTACTAACTCCCACGTGCCATTTTTTTCGATTGCAATAATTTCCTCTTGCATAGAGTGCTCCCATTCTTCTTTCCCTTGTGCTTCTTCATAGTTAACAGGTTCTGCACTTAACAAAGCAAAAGTGCATGATTCATAAATTTCTGCTAAAGATCGATACTTACGAGGAGGGGTATCAGAATCAGGTGCAGAATCTGAGTTGTCGCTGCCTTCATTATTTAATTCTCTTGAAGTAGACCTTCCCGATGAGTTTGATGATGGAGAACTCTGTGGTGACACTTGATTCTCTGTTGCTTGTGTCGGCTCGACTATATCCTCAAAAGGCACTTGCTGATTTTGTTCTTCTTTCCAGTTCCAGAAACTATTTTCATCGAATACAACATCTCGGCGAATAATGAGCTTCCCATTTTCTGGATTATACAACCGATAACCCTTGGTTTCACCGCTATACCCAACAAAGATACATTTCTCGCTCTTTTTATCAAGCTTAGAACGGTCATTAGAATCAATCAGAGAATAAGCAATGCTACCAAAAATCTTTAGATGACTTACATTGGGTTTTCGGTTCCACCATGCTTCATAGGGAGTCATGTTTCGGACAACCTTAGTTGGAGATATGTTGAGAAGAAATACGGATGTAGCTACTGCTTCAGCCCAGAATTCATTGGGCAGTCCTTTCTCATTTAGCATGCTTCTAGCCATCTCCACCACCGTTCGGTTCTTCCTTTCGGCAACACCATTCTGTTCTGGGGATTTTCTCACTGTTAGCTGTCTTTGAATCCCATTTTTCTTGCAAAAATAGGTGAACTCATTGGATAAGAACTCTCCCCCTCTATCAGTGCGAAGAACTTTTATGACCTGCCCACTTTCCTTTTCCGCAAAAGCTTTGAACTCCTGAAACTTTTCATAAGCTTCTGATTTGTAAGAAAGAAAATACACCCAACTCATACGAGTATAATCATCCGTAAAGAGTAAAAAATATCTACTCTTATTGAAGGATAAGGTCCTTGTTGGGCCACATATATCAGCATGAACAATTTCAAGAGGCTTCTTGGCTCTCCAAGCTTTGCCGACAGGAAATGGTAACCTATGTTGCTTCCCATAAATGCAGCCTTCACAGACTTCATCAATGCATTGGATTGAGGGCAAACCAAACACCATATGCTTCTGATTTAACAACTTCAGCCCATTAAAATTCAAGTGACCGTATCGTAAATGCCAAAGTCTAGAATCGTCTTTAACATTAGCAACCAATGCACACTCATTCAAACACGAAAGATCAAGGGGAAACATCCTATTCTTAGTCATGGGAATCCGAACGAGAGGTTTATCGGATACCCCTTTTCTTTTAATTTCGCACATATTATTTTCAAACAACATTGAATATCCTTTTTCAACTAATTGACCGACACTTAACAAATTGTGGGCTAAATCAGGAGAATAATAAACGTCATGAATAGATCGTTTAATACCTGATTTGAATTTAGCTCCAATAGTTCCCTTGCCTTCAATTTGGAGTTGCTTGTTATCACCCAGTCGAACTTTTGATTTTGCAGATTCGTCTATGCTACGGAAGAGACTTTTCTCCCCTGTCATATGGTTACTACAGCCGCTGTCCAAGAGCCACATATCACCCATACTTGCTTTTGACTCTAGGCATGTAAGAAACAGGTTACCTTCCTCTTGTTCTGCTTTAGCAAAGTTGGCTTTCTGCTGAGCCTTGTTTGGGCAATTTGGTGAAATGTGCCCATATTGCTTACACGAATAGCATTGCTTGTCTTGATGGTCCTGCCTTTTGTTGCCTCTACCACTATTTTGATAACCCCGACCAGCTTGGTTGTATCCTCGTCCACGACCACGACCACGACCACAATAAGTGCCTCGGCCTCTTCCTGTATATCCAGAACCACCTTCACCAAATTTTTCTTTGGAAAGATCCACATTCGACTGAAATGCCTGTTCCAGATTCTTATTTTCAGCCCTGTTCATCCTACCTTCATGTGCTAAAAGAGACCCCATTAAATCATTCAAAGAATAAGTATTCATATCCTTAGATTCTTCAATAGCAGTAACTACATGATCCCACTTAGAAGGAAGACTTCGTAAAATCTTCTCGACTACTTTTTGATCAGAAATATTCTCACCAAATGTTTTCATTTGATTTACTATGATAGACACTCTAGTAATGTAATCTTGCACCGATTCATTACCTTTCATAAGGAGTGTTTCGAATTCCCGACGAAACATTTGGAGTTTCACCATCGTTACCTTGCTATCTCCATGGAACTCCTGCCTCAAAATTTCCCATGCATCCTTCGATTTGGCAGCATTTGCAAGACGGGGAAAAATAGCCTCCGTCACAGCTTGTTGTTGTAAAACAAGCAGGGCCTTCGCATCCTTCTTACGAAGCTCCCTCACCTCAGCTGTTGTATCTACATAGCCAGATTCAACAAGCTCCCATAGGTCTTGTGAGATGAAAAAAGTCTTCATCTTAATGCTCCAGAACTCGTAGTTCTCTCCATTGAAAATTGGCACTAAAGACTGGTTTTGTGATACATTGAGAGAATTCATGATTCTTCCTTTTTGAAGCCTTTTCACAAACACCTCAGCTGCACAAGAGATGTCCTGCTATTGCTACTGCACTTGATCTCGAAAGCGGTACAAAAATAAGCCCAATTGGATCAGACCTGGGCTCTGATACCATAAAATGTTGGAAATAAGAGAGACAAAGGCACCAAGAGTTTGAATATAGTGTAAAAAACAGAGAGAAGAAAAAAAAAAGCTACAGCTTTATCAATTCAAAATGGAAGAAATACTCTGCAATTCTCATATCATTAAACGGCTGATTACACCCTTTATTTATAACCTAAAACCATAACCACAATGCCTATAAAGTAGCAACTAATTCCTAAATAAAAGCAACTACTACAGACTAAGTCTTCTACAACTCCTCTCCTACTTTCTAGTTAACAGTTAAAGAATAAATCAACATAATTCTGCTAACTTAATTAATCACGTTCTGCATCAATTCTTATCATAATGGCCGAAAAACTAGGTGTTTTATTATTGTGCTTCTTCGGCTGTGAACTGAGTATAAGTTCAGGGTTTGCCTCGGTGAGACTATCGTCTGTTCCACTCAATTTGAAGATTTCTAAACCATTCAATATAGCATCAACGTACTAAGGTCTAAAGTGGAGGTCAGGGTACATAGCGAGCCTCAAGTCTTGCTTGTTCCGACGACCATCTGGGTCGGTGACCATTATGATGTAGTCTTTGAACACAAGGAATCCAGTGCCACCACTCCACAGGATAACATCTGCTCCTCTCTATGTTGTTTGATTGTTGATGTATATTATAAAAACCCTTTGGTTCTTGAGGGTCACATCCTTTGAATCTCTCAGAAATGGAGTCTGAGAAGATAATAAAACCCAGAATCAACAAGAAATCTCCATGTCAGATTGTATTTTAGACTTTGGTTGCCCATGGTCCTTGAGGATGTGCAAACGATCTTCGGTGCAGTGTAAGGTGGTGTCTCCTGTGTGTATCGGATTGCGACATCACTGTAAGGTGTAAATCCATAAGCTGCGTAGGTGTAATTGTCATCCGGACGCCATAAACGAAACATTCTGGTATCATTGGTTACTGAGACGTCATTACCGCCAACATTTAATCGATAGAGAGTCTCAAGAACAGAGCTGTTATCAATGAAAAAAATTTTGGTTCTGGCTCACTAGTGGGATTTGATGATCACTGCCGCCGCGAATGTAGAGATTTTTCGGCATTGAAACGACTTCAATGCCATTAACGAAGGCGTAAGAGTTCGGAGACGGCAAAAAGGTTATGTTCAGTCTCTGGTTGTCCCTAACGTTGACGATGAATTCCTTTCTAAGGGTAGCAACTGCGGGTTTCATGGCAGAGACAGTGAGGAAGGCACTAAAGTTGCTTAAGAGGGTGTGGCCGCTGGAGGTGACAGAGAAGAAAGAGTTGGCTATGTCCAGGTCAGAGTAATTAGCTGGGAAGAAATAGAGACGAATGAATTTTGGTCCGATGGAGACTGGGAAGGTGTAGGTGAATTGAGAGCGAAAGATACGAGCAAACATGTAGGGGACTAGATTGACAGGAAGGTTTTGCCCGGATGCTGTAGATTTAGAAGATGTGTTTGAAATGTTTGAGGGTGAGAATTTGGAGTGGCCATCTCCGTCCCAGGTTCGGCCGTCGGCATCACTCAAACTATAAGATGAACTATAGTTGAGGAGAAAGTAGTCGCTTGGAATGTAAAGTAGTCGCTTGGAATGTAAGGGCATTGGCTGTGTCTCCGATGGCAGCGGCGGCAGTGGTGGTGGAGAAGAGGAGGTAGAGAAAGAAGGAGATGCGGAGAGTTATGCCTAGAGTTGTCAAAATTCAACACGATACGGATTAAATAGATTTGAGTGAAATTTTAACGAGTTCACGTGTTAAACGGGTCAAAATGTTATAATCTGTTTAAATAAAATTTATATAATAATAAATTAATAATTATTTTAAAAAAATTAACCAGAATTTTTTTTAAAATGATAACTAGCTACACAAAAAGTATATAAACTTATTTTATCCTAAGCCTAATCTAATTTCACGCGCCTCTGAGCTCTACTTTTCTACTCCTCTTCCCATTCTTCTGCTATTATTTTGCTCCTCTCTCTCTCTCACACACACTGCGAGTTGTGAACAACGTGCGTATTCGAGCACTGCTCTTCAGATCTGTGTTCGAGCAAGACTTCGAGCAGGTATTCGAGCAAATCTGTGTTGGAGCAAGACTTCAAGCAGATCTGTAAATATTCTTTGTTATTTGTTAGATCTATAAATATTCTTTGTTATTTTGTGTTAGATCTGTAAGAATCGAGGTCTTTCTTGCCAATATCTTGACTGTCAATCTGTTGAGCAATTTGGTTGACTGTGTTCATCATTGCTGGGCTTTGAGTAAATTGTTCTAACATATTTTTCAATACATCAGGGGAACCCACCCCAGTTTGTTGTGAAACCCCCGATAGTAAACCATTTATGATCATAAATGGGAAAATGAAAGGGGTTTTTGACTTTTATGGGTCATTTGCCGACACATGAGCTTTAGCATAATTGGTTAATCTATTAGATGAGCATTAGCACAATTGGTTAATCTATTAGAAACTTCAGGGATCCATATGCCACATTTTGAAAGTTGAGGGATAAAATTAAAAATGAGTGAATAATTTAGGAACTCTGTATACCCATAGACCCTAATAGACTGAATTAGCTTTACAAGCTGGTAATGATTTGCCTCCCATCTTATTTAAGGTATGAAGCAGTCAGATTCTTTGTTTGCTTCATCATGCTAACTATCAGCCTTAGAGAAGTCCCAGATCTTGTATTGGATGTTTGCATGGTTAATATGCACTAACCTACGTTGTACACTTGGCTGATTAATTTCTAGGCTTCTGATATTCTGTAGCCAACGATCTGTGCCCCCCGGAATCCTGCACAGCGTTTTTTATGTATAAACCATAACTATAGTTTGTCGTTAAAAATGAGGTTCAACTTCTATCAAATGCTAAAGTCACAATGATAAAAGAATTTGACTTTGCCATCCACCTCCTGTTGATGTTATCAACAGTTAGTTATTTTGTGTTACAATAGTTTTTTTTTTTTCAATTTATATTTTTCTTGTTTCAGGAAGGGTTTGCTTGATTGAACAGTCGAAAAGACAAACGAAAGAATCAGTACTTTTTTACTAAAATTAGAACTATCCAAATTTTATGGTGGTTCTAATATACCCTGCATCGTACCATTTCTTTGTCAAGAGGACTGGCCTTGGTGCAACCAGTAATGTGGTTTCAATGTGATGGGGGTGTTACTCGATTAAGTGATGGAAACAGTTTTTTTTTTTAATAATGTTTGGTAAGTCCGCAGGAGGGAATACTGAGTAGAAATGAGTGAATACTGATAGCAATTTGGTTGATGTAAGAATTGTTTGATTGGTCTTTTCTTATAACCAGTGTCTTTATGATCCAGATTTTGAATATATGAAATATATTCTAAAAACTTTTAAATATATCCTAAAAGCTTCATTTGTCTTTGCGGTACATGGTGGCGATGCATGGTTGAGAGGTCAAATTGAGATAATTGAAAATCTATATAATAAAACAGGAGTGTGTTTGAATTTTGTCTCAGTCATATTTTCCTCTTCAGAACTATCATCAATTACTTACCCCACCCATTATCTTTTTATCAAACTCAAACGTCAAATCGCATCACTCTTTTCTATCACATATTTAATTATTTATATATTTTTTCCCTAAAAATATCACACCACTCATTTTTATCATATATTTAATTATTTAATATTTGATTAATTTATAATTAATGTATTTTGAAAAAATTTAATATAATGAGATCGATTTTTTAGACGCTCGAATTTTATATTTTATCGTGATTTTAGGCATGGTTTATAACTATACTTAAATATTATTTGTTAGTCTGGACATTTATACATTATTATACATTTATAGTAATCAGGGTCATCCTCCATTAAAACTATGGACATTTATACATTATTATCATGGTCATCCTCCATTTTCATTTATAATTTTTAGCATTTATACATTATGGACCCGAATGCATGTGTCTGGTTTTAGGAAATCAATGATCAAATTACAATCATTTTTCAATTGTTTTTTTTGAAAATATTTTTCACTTAATCAATTTAACTCTATTTTTTTTCCCTTAAACAGATGGATTCTTCCAAATACAATATTATAATTTCTAATGAAGAAGATCAAATCGGGCATGAATTTAATGTAGTTGCAGCTTCAATAACACAGACATCAATTGGTACAACTATAGAAAAAGATAAACATAATCGTAAGCGACAAAAGACTTCAATAGTATTGAAATACTTTACAAAATTAAATGAAAAAAATCTAGACGGCAAGAAGCGTGTTGCAAGTATCGAATAAGTATCGAAGTTCACTTTTATCAGAAATTGTCCAAACTTTGATTTGTACTAGAGATTGGATTCATGGGAAGAGCAGTAAGTTTGATTCTCTTTTACTAGTATTATTTTTCTCATTATACTAATTCATGTGATCATTGATTTATTTATGTTTTGTTGTGCCTAGTTGTAAATGATTCTAGTGATAATTCGGAAGGGGAAATAGATGATGATGTTTTCAATCAAAATATAAAGTCTAATAAAGTTATATCCGCTTAATGTTCTAATTCTATATCTATCATTGATCATGACTAAAAAGAGATAATGTCAAAGTTTTTGTTACATAATATTTCATTTTAATTATTAATGTTACATAATAATTTATTTTAATTTGTGTAGGGCATGACAATTTGGTTGTTGAATTTGCTCGTTGTCGTGGAGGTGTAAATTTGATATCTGATGAAGAAGTTTGTGAATCATGGAATTTGTGGTTATTTGAGATTGTGGTTTGTAATATGATTGTTATTTCGAATTGTATTTATGATTTGTAATATGATTGTTGATGAAATTTGGATATTTTTTATTGTAGTTTGTACTTTATAATATGGTGTTGTATGATATCTCTAAATATCACATTTATTTGTGTTAGTTTGTTAGTTTTATGAACATATATAGTATTTTTAAATAAGCATAAAAATGGTTAAATGAGTGGCTTAACTTGTTAAATGAGTCAAACGGGTGGTAAACAGGTGTAAATGGGTTAAACGGGTGATAAACAAGTAAATGGGTCAAACGAGTAGTTTATCGTGTTAATCCAATGCAATTCAATCCGACTCATTTAAAATTAAACTTATTAAATAAGTTGTGTCGTGTTATCCGTTTATTAAACTGTTCGTGTTTGTGTTTCGATTTTTTACTCGTTTATTAAACGTGTTATATATAAATTTATATATTTGTCATCCGTTATTTGTTTAACCTGATACGTTTCACACACTTAATTATGGTAATTATGATGAACATGGGTGGTACGAACTTTGAAAGATATGGTGTATGATGGTGGTGAGTCTGGTGACCGACGATGAAGCTGAAGCGTAACGGTGATGAAGTAGTAGAGGTTATGTACGGAAGAAAAGTACAGGTAGCTAGTACTGGTAGAAGACTGCATGGAGTTGGAAGTCTTTGGTTTTGGATTGATTATTGGGCGGCTACGTTCCCAAGTCAGCTTTCATATGTTTTTTCCCCAAGGCCTACTTTTTGATATTTTTGTGGGAGTTCAAATGAGCCATTTTTAGAAAATTTTAAAAATAGGTGTAATATTATTTAAATTTAAAAAATTGATATAATTTATTAATATAATGATATATATGTCACGGAGTTTCAGTAAAAAAGTTTAAAAGTTGTAATCACAATAATATTATTAAATTATGTTATTGTCATATAATTAGATCAATAAATTAGGTTAATTTTTTAAACGACAATGATATTACTGATTGAGTTCAACTCAAAAGTTAGTTTAAGAGTAATGTTATTGGGATTTAAAATTTTGACTTAATTTGTTACCGTAATAGTGACTTTAGTGTAATCGTTAGATTAACATAAAGTTTTAATATTTAATAAAATTCATAATCAACCCAATAATTATAGCGAATTATGTCGATAAAATAAGTCAATAAACTAAATCTCACTACCATTCTCGAGGCTCTATCCCAATGGTTGTTCTCTACGACTACGAGGGTAAAAAATTCAAGGGATTTCATTGCTCTAGTGAAAAAAAAAAAGATTTTATAGATGTGATAAAAATACTTATAAATATAGCAAAAAATCCACAAATACGGTAAATTTTTTTGTATCAAAAAAAAATAGTAAAAATAGTTCTATAAATTTGATAAAAATATTCACAAAAGTGATAAATTACCTACAAAAATAATAAATTTTTTAGTTGTATAACAACCCACAAAAATTATAAAAATATTCATTAAAATGGTAAAATAATCTACAAAATTTATAAAAATACTCATTATAGTGGTAAAAGTTTTACGAACAATACCAAAATTATTTCTTCTGTACCGTAGTCAAATACAAATCTAAGATAAAGAAAAAGAGAAATAGAGGGATGCCCCTATGGCTTCTTTCTCCTATTCAGCTACTCTGATTCGGTCACCTGGCAAGATACCATTAGTGGTCGATAAGGGAGTTTGCACTGTCGTGTGAAATCCTCCAGTCTAAGTTTAATGTTTGGCACGGCACTATGAAAATGATATAAGATAGATCGCACGGCTCAAGTATTAAAATATGGATGAGAAATCAATGGCCATTAACAAACTCGTAGTTAGGGATGTCGATGAACCGAAGTGGGGGCCGGGGTATAATCTTCATCTCCGTACCCGTTTAAAAAATTTTCGTCCATCCCCGATCCACCCCTGCTAACGGATATAATTTTCATCTTCATCCCTATCCACGGGTAAATTTATAATCCCCGTTCCCGCTTCCCCCGTACCCGTCCAAGCACAAGTAAAGTCATGAGAATTAAGATAGCTTAATTTTTTTTTGCTATGATCGGAATAGAAGATTTAACAATATTAAAAGTGTGCCTTCTTTTCTTTCCACTCAATTATGTTGAAACAAGGGAAATTATTCTGAAAGATAATTAGTTACAATTCCATAGAAATTGACGTGGTATGTTTCAACAAGGCTACGACCTGCATAATGTTCCAAAAATATTTGCTAAAATGACAGAAAGAAGGGAACCCACATATATGTCATTTATGTGTTCTGAAATTATGACATCCATTAGTGACATCACACATGGAATGCAAGTAAAGGATGATAAAAGCCCAATGTAAAAGGTATTTATGGTTTTAAAACTTCTAATAAAAATTTATAAACACACCTATGTCACGAAATTTCATCCGGTGAAGTCCTCTTTAATTTATAAAAAAATACATAATGTAATGAAGAAGTAATTGATCAATATAATGACCTATACATGATTTTACCCCAAGCCAAATTGTTCTCTCAGTAAGTAAAGAAGCCTATACGTGATCAATGTAATGACCTATACGTGACCTATATATTTATAACGGGTAACAGGAACGAGAAGGGGCGGGGCGGGGATGGGGCAGGGGTAGGGTAAGTCCATCCTCACCTTCATTCCCACACGGGTTTATACGGATATTCCCGTATACGTCCACCGTCCAATACGTATAGTCCATTCCCGGTCCAAACCGGGGGAGGGGTTTGAACGAATACCCATTTTTTTCCGGTCCACTATCATCCCTATTCGTAGTGACGTAAAATTTTCAAATAGATCCTAATTTTTTTTTAAATTGTAGTAGGGACAACTGTCCCATTCTAGATTCGTCCCTATAAGATTCATTTGTATTATGTATGATGATACCAAAAATTAGTTAAATCTAAGATCGGACTAGAAGTAGATCAGGAACTTACCCCTAATAGGGGCCCCACATGACGATGCCAAACTCGGGCAATCCAACTCAGACATCTCAACCCTAGGTCGGATCTTCGAGTTCAAATCTCATCTCAAGTCTTCCAGGTCGATAACCATTGCTGACGTGACCCCATGCACACTACGACAACAACATCTCACACTTTCTGGAAGATCACATTCACCCAGGATATTGCTTCTTTTAGCCAAAGATCCCACCTTATGAGTTGCAACGACCCCAAGGGTATTACGATCACAATCGCTACACAAGGATTATGATGATTACACAGAAATCACGTGGAGAACGCTATAAATAGGGATCAATCCCACGTTTTGTAGCCAGGCCTAAGAGTTTACTTTCTGCAAAAACTTTGTAATCTTCTTCAAATAATAACAAACTCTCTCAGGAGCAAAATACCCTATTAGAGTGTATTAACTAAACTTCTAAGTTGGTGAACCACTATAAATCTCATATCTATCAATTTTCACTGATTGTTATTGTTTCTGTGATTAACTGTTCAACACTATGAGCCTAATAGCTCTAACTGGATGTCCCAATGAATCCCCATGATCGTTCTTAACGAATCTCAAGTCCATTTGCTTTTTTCTGAATCCCAAACTCAATCGTGTAAACCACACCATCAATGTGATTCGCCTTTAAATTTATGAAAGGTGATCTACAATTAATAGAAATTGAAAAAAACTATGAGAATCCAAATACGATTTAAATGAGTGAATTCCGACAATTTTGAACAGTTACTATATTTAACGAAATAGAATAAAAAATATGATTGGACCCAAATAGTATTAGAGGTTAGCATGGTTTGATGTTTGATGGACAAAGAGTATGATGGTGGTGAGTGATGAGTGGTGAGAGCTCAAAGGGAAGAAAGGTAATTGTAGAACACTGCGTGGACTTAGAAATCTTTGGATTGATTAATTTATATATGTTGAATGCCACTTAAATTCATAATTAACGGTTTATGATTCAAAAAATTGACGAAAAATATATGAGTTAAAGTGAGCGGATATTGGATAATTTCGGGTTATAACATTCTATAAGGAGAAAGAAAAAAAAATATGGTTAGGCTACTATGGTCTTTAACCCAATACGTGTTTGACGTAGGTTTTGCTTTAGCTAGGCTTTGTTAAATGATTTGAGTAGTTCAAGTCTGTCCCACTTTTAACTTATTAATATCATTAAAATAAATTAAATTTTTGAACTCCTTTTAAAAATAAATTGAATTTGAGTAACGTGTATCTCAAAAAAAATCAGCTCAACTCAAATAGGTTGCTTATCTATAAATAATTCTTATTTTACTACCAAGCAAACTCTATTCGAAATGTGGACAACCCCAAAACTATCCACAAATAACTCCAGGTTATATGCATTCTCTTTCTTTCTATCTTTTGTAATAGATTTTTTGAAGAATTAAACTTTGTGGTTGATTAAATATATTTTGAAAGATGTTTAAAATAACATGAGGATTAATTACTAAGTTCTACAGTTAGTTCTTAATTTTTTTGCTAAAAAGTTGGGCTTGATTTCGACACTAATATATACTTGAAAACTCATATTGGGTTAAGCTCGAGCTCTACTTCTACCTAAGCTATGAATTCCATGGTACTTGATGGTGTAAAAATCGAGAAGTTGAGAGAGAAGAGTTGAATGAGTTCTTGATGAGATGTGTTAGCCTTGTAATGCAAAGTGAGTAAGAACGTAGAAGAAATTAAGTGGTTCACCCATCTGAAGAGCTGAGTTAGCTCACTGTAATAGAGATTCTTATTCCTTAACAGTGTTTTGTTTAAGGAAGAACAAGGTTACTAACTAGGGTTTCTTGGTTATGAGTTAGGGCCCAAGGCAATATATATGCATGCCTTTTCTACAAAATTATGGTGTAATCCTAACAAACTTGTCAAATAATATTTGGCTATTAGAAGATTTCCTCCTAGATGTGACATGGCCTTTTAGAAAAGATATGTGATTTTCTAAATGGGGTGACTTCTTGTCCAAAATAGGCTTTGTGGGTGAGAGTCCTCTTTTACCTTTTCCTGGTGATTCTCAAGCTATTAGTTGTCATCAAAGCATTCATGACATACCTGGACTGTTTAAGTTCAGGTTGGCTCATAGTGACTGTTATTCAAAATATGTATATATTTGGAATTAACCACTAATAGTAAAATCTAAATCTATTAAGTATATTGTTATAACTATTTAATAAAAATAGAATGTTGATAACTAGAAACTAAAACAATGCTCTTATAGTGACGTAGAATATCAAGTATAGAAATAATCCAAAAAATTAAAGATAATTCAAGTTCTGTGTAATTATAGTTTCTTTGAGATAGATTTGCTTACTCTAGGTGCTGAAAGTTGATAAGTAACTGTCTCTTAAAATAGAACGGATTTTGTTCTTTAAAATATGCACTTCAATCTTCAAGATTTCAATTAACACAATTCTATGTATATACTTAAACTGAACAAGAAAAACTAATGCAACAATATATAGAGCGAGAGAAAAGAAACTCTGAATACTGAATTCAAAATTGGGATATATTGAAAATGGTTTGAAAGTAATCTATTTCTAGACTCTTAGTGACTGTTCAGATTGCCTGAAGATGCATGGAATTCTACTGTTCGAGATTCAAGAGACACACTCTTTCAAACTAAACAAGCAAAAGACACTTCTGGAATTTTGGAATGAACATACCCAATTTCGGCGCCAAATTGAAAGCAACCGACAAAAAATTTAAAATTTTGTTTAGATTTTAAATTTAGTTTGAGAATTTAATTACAATTTGCGTTCGGATAGGTCACATTAAGACATAATTTTGCATTCAATATTTTATGATTTTAAACAAATAAATATATGATGTTTATCTTATCACAGAAGAAAACGCGTTTAAACTTGATCCCACTAATTTAGAGGTGTGAGTTTGATTTTTATTTAAATTTTAAGTTGTTCAAATAAACTTATTTAAAATTTTTTTTTTTTTTTATCAGGGACCAAGGTAGCCAACCTAAACTGAATGCACAGTATATTTTCTTCTGGCATCATCAGTTAGTTATTAAACACAACATTTAGCTAATTGACAAAAATTAAAAACTGCATTTATTCTTTTGTCCTATTTACAATGGTCTTAATATTTTTCATAAAAGTAATATTCTCCATTCCAATCGCGGGACCCAGATTCTTTTCAAGTAGGGTCTCCTCATCACATGCTGATAATAAACTAAACTAGAAGACTATAATAAGCTACTTCACCTTGCCCAAGTCGGTCACCGTGAAGGCCAAAAATCTGGACCCCACGGAGGACCCACCCGAAGAGCATTCACTTTCTCAACGTCCAACGGGATTCAAGATCTCGGAGAACACAGTCTCCGACTTCAATCTCTCACTGCTGACCGTTGATCTTGACATGTTTTCGACTGACGCAGTAAATACTTCATCATCATCGGTGGTCGTTGCCTCTCCATGTAGAAGAGGAACAGAGGGACTGGCCAACGCCGCCGGGAGCAACCAACCACCACCGTGAGCCATCTTCTCAGCAGCCTCTTGAAGTTGCAGAGCAAATTCAAGGCCCCACACAACATCATTCATTCCTGGACGATCGATCCCATTATCACGCAAGCAACTTTCACCTACTTCGCCAAACTTCCTCAAACACTCTGGCGCAATCTCACCCTTTAGATTAGTATCAATAATCCGATCAAGGGTCCCTTTTCTATAAGAATTTCGGGCCCACTCAGCCAAACTCACTTGCTCCTTGGGAAAATTTGGAATTATAGCTGGTCTAGCACACAAAACCTCAAATAAAACAACCCCAAATGAGTACACATCAGATTTTTCTGTCAATTGTTGTCGTTTATAATATTCTGGATCAACATACCCGAAACTACCCTTCACCACTGTACTGACATGGCTATGACCCACATCCTTGGGACCCAATTTGGATAACCCGAAATCAGAAACCTTAGCTACCCATTTCTCATCCAATAAAATGTTGGTGGATTTCACATCACGGTGAATGATTGTGCGTGTTGCACCTGTGTGGAGATAATGCAGTCCCCTTGCTGCACCAATGCAAATCTGAAGGCGTTGCTTCCACGGAAGGTGTTGTTTCTTCGATTTGTAAAGATGATCACGAAGGGTTCCATGGGCCATATAATCATACACCAAAATCATCTCACGGTTGTCATTGCAATAACCGATCAACGACACCAAATGGAGGTGGCGTAACTTTGATAGCATACCGATCTCTGTTTGGAACTCGTGGATCCCTTGATTTGATGATGGGTTCAATCGTTTGATCGCAACAGTGGTTGCACCGTTGTCGATGTGGCCCTTATACACGTTACCAAATCCCCCTGCCCCGATGACAAAATTGTCATCGAAGTTGCATGTAGCTGATGTGATCTCCTCAAGTGAAAAGCGTCTACATAGATCAGACGGTAGTGATGAACCGCTGGTTTTTGTGGACTTTGAACCGTCAGATAAGGGGACCCACGACGACTTGGGCTGTGTTGAGCCCAAGTCTTTCACTCTCCTCCGTCGTCGGACAATCAAGAAACCTAAGATAAAGACCAGAACAGACCCTCCTCCGACTACGCTACCGATAATAACCGGCAAAGTAGATGTTTTTTTATTGTTCTTCTTCTGCGGTGACAATGGGAATGGTCCTGGCGGTGGACTGAGTACAAGTTCAGGGTTTGCCCCGGCGAGACTGTCGTCTGTTCCACTCAATTTGAAGATTTCTAAACCATTCAATATAGCATCAGCGTACTGAGGTTTAAAGTCGAGCTCAGGGTACATAGCGAGCCACAAGTCTTGCTTGCTCCGGCGACCATCTGGGTCGGTGACCATGATGACGTAGTCTTTGAACACCGGGATTCCAGTGCCACCACTCCACTGGATAACATCTGCTCCTCTCTGTGCCGTTTGATTGTTGATGTATATTATAAAAACCCTTTGGTTCTCCAAGGTCACCTCCAATTGAATCTCGCAGAAATGGAGTCTGAGAAGATAATAAAACCCAGAATCAACAGGAAATCTCCATGTCAGATTGTATGTTAGACTTTGGTTGCCCATGGTCCTTGTGGTTGTGTAAACGATCTTCGGTGCAGTGTAAGGTGGTGTGTCCTTTGTATACTGGATTGGGACTTCCCTGTGAGGTGTAAACCCATAAGCTGCGTAGGTGTAAGCATCGTCCGAAAGCCATAAACGAAACATTCCGGTATCATCGGTTATTGAGACCTCATTACCGCCAACATTTAATCGATAGAGAGTCTCAAGAACAGAGGTGTTATCAATATTGAATGATATTTGGTTCGGGACTAGTGGGATTTGATAATCACTGCCGCGAATGTAGAGATTTTCCGGAATTGAAACGACTTCAATGCCATTAACGAAGGCGTAAGAGTTTGGAGACGGCGAAAAGGTTATGTTCAGTTTCTGGTTGTTCCTAACGTTGACGATGAATTCCTTTCTTAGGGAAGCAACTGCGGGTTTCATGGCAGAGACAGTGAGAAAGGCACTGAAGTTGCTTAAGAGGGTGTAGCCGCCGGAGGTGACAGAGAAGAAAGAGTTGGCTATGTCGAGGTCAGAGTAATTAACTGGGTAGAAATAGAGACGAATGAATTTTGGTCCGACGGTGATGGGGAAGGTGTAGGTGAATTCAGAGCGAAAGATCCGAGCAGTCATGTAGGGGACTTGATTGACAGAAGTTTTTTGCTCGGATGCTTTATATTCCAAAGAAGTTATTGAAATGTTTGACGGCGAGAATTTGGAGCGGGCATCTCCCTCCCAGGTTCGGCCGTCGGCATCGTTAGAACTAGAAGATAAACCACAGTTGAGGAGAAAGTAGTCGCTTGGACTGTAAGGTGGCGCGTTGGCTGTGTCGCTGATGGCAGCGGCGGCAGTGGTGATGGAGAAGAGGAGATAGAGAAAGAAGGAGATGTGTAGAGTTATGGTGTACATGGGAGGTATGAGCTTTGAAAGATATGGTGTATGATGGTGGTGAGTCTGGTGATCGATGATGAAGCTGAAGGGTAATGGTGATGAAGAAGTAGAGGTTATGTATAGAAGAAAAGTACAGGTAGCACGGGTAGAAGACGGCGTGAACTTGGAAGTCTTTGGTTTTGGATTGATTCCTGGGCGGCTATAACGCGTTCTCAAGTCAGCTTCGTACTTCTCTCCCCAAGGCCTACTTTTCCAATTCATCAATGATATTTGGGAGAATTACACTAGGGCTCACTATATTTATTGCCTAATCACTCAAATTTTTTAATATTTAAAATATTATACGAGTAATGTTATTAAAATATAATTTATAAACATAATTTAAAGACATAATGAATTATCACTAATAATATGATAATAAATTCATTAATGCTACAATAAGATCTATCATTAAATATATTTTACTATCATTTCATTGGTGACAACTAATTATATTCCTAAATTATGTCCTAATAACATTAGTGATATTATATACAGACCCTTCAAAGTTTATACGCGAATAACACTTAAATCCATGTTGTCTAGTGTATCTGTTAGTAAATTACAACAACACTCACTGAAGTTTGTAGATATGTAATATTTAGACCCCTCAATTTTAAAAAGTTATAATTAAACTAAAAAAACTTCAATCAAAGATAGAATATCAAATATTTTAAATTTATAACCAAAATTTTTATTCTATTATGACACTTATTAAAATAAGATTAAAAATAAAAATCAATTTTTTTCATAAAAAATCATAATTACTATATAATTATACTATCTATTAAAATTTAATTTGGTCATTTAAACGTCCAAATTAAATTATCAGACTACCCCAATTAAAGTTAGAATATATTGCTTTCATTACAGATTGACTCCTATTTTATTTTTTAGTTTTATTCTAGTAGATAATATAATTGTACACTAAATACGATTTTTTAAGAAAAAATTAAATTTTTATTTTTATAAATGACATAATATAACATAATTTTTTTTGTCCTATTATGAATGACTTAGACCTCTTGTTTGATTTTTTAATTTTATTCCAATAGATAATATAATTATATACTAATTACGATTTTTTTTAAAAATTGACTTTTTATTTTTAATTTTATTTCAGTAAATAATACAATAGAACATGAATTTTGGTTATAAAATTTAAAATATTTAATATTTTATCTTTAATTGAAATATTTTTGGTATAAGTATAACATTTTAAATTTGAGGGATCTAAATATTATACACCTACAAATTTTAGAAAGTATATGTGTAATTTACTAACAAATATATTAATAGACAACAAGAGTTTAAATGTTACGCGCATATAAATCAGGGGATTTATATGTAATATTTTAAATTTTAGGAGATCTGAGAGATTAAATGATAAATTTTAGAGAGTCCATGATATTTTAATGGGAGTTCAAGTGAGCCACTTTTAGACAATTTCTATTGAATTTGAGAAATATTATTTAGACTTAAAAAATTAATATAATTTATTGATATAATGATGTATTCGTCGTAGAGTTTCAAAAATAAAATTTAAAAGTTTTGGTCACAATAACATTATTAAACTACGTCATTATCACATTATTGGTCAACAAAGTAGGTTAATTTTCTAAATGACAATAGTATTACTAATTGAGTTCAACTCAAAAGTTAATTTAAGAATAATGTTATTGAGATTTAAAAATTTTGACTTAATTTGTTATCCTAATAACGTGACTTCATTTTAACCGTTAGATTAACACCAAGTTCTAATATTTAATGAGATCTACAGTTAACTCAATGATTATAGTGAATTAAATCAGTAAAATAGATCAAGAAATTACGTCTCACTAACATTCTCGAGACTCTATCGTACTGGTTGTTCTCTCAGAGGTTAATAAATCCAAGGGATTTGATTACTATTGCAAAAAAAATATTTACAAATGTAATAAAAAAAAACACCCACAAATGTAATAAATTTTTTTGTATGAAAGAAAAGTGATAAAAATAATTACTACAAAAATGATAAATTTTTTAGTTATAAAATGACCCACAAAAAATTATAAAAACACCCATTACATTAGTAAAAGTTAGACATACAATACCAAAATTATTTCTTTGCCCCAATGCCTTCTTTCTCCTATTGAGCTACTTTGTTCCGGTCACCAGGCAAGATACCATAAAGTGCTCAATAAGGGAGTTTGAACTGTCGTGTGAAATCCTCCGGTCAAAGTTTAATGTTTGGCACGAGAATGATATGATATAGATCACAAGCTCAAGTACTAAAATGTGGATGAGAAATGAATGGCCAATGTCTACTATGAGAGCTTGCACCACTTCGGATGAGGACAAAATTGATAATGGCTATATTATGAGAGCTCTGTTACCTACCCAAGACCCAAATTGCCAATATGTAAATTTTGAAAATTACTAAAAAAAATTTTTGTAAGACAGGCCGCAGCCCCAAGAACCACACTTCGTGAAATAGTCAAACCCCTAATCTATCCCTCATGACAAATTTATTAGGTGATTAAACTGCCACTAGGCTAACCTTTTACTCTCAAATGTCCACAAGTCATTCATCAAACATGTGTATAACTATATATTCCTGTCTATATATACGGTGAGAAGAAGATCTGGTTTTGTGGTTTTTTTTTTTGGTGATGGTGGGGAGAGAGAGAGAGAGAGTGATTGACCGAAACACCATTTTCCTCCATACTTTGTTATATTTTTCTTTAATATTTGTACCTAACAACAAAAAAGTCTTAAAATCATCAAAGCAAATAAAACAAAATTTCAAGTAATTTTATTTGTACCTCCTAATTCTAGAAGAGTTTTTCGGAGAAAGATAATCTACTACGAACTTAGTTATGGTACTTACAAGAAACGTACAATTGGAAGTGAAAAAAAAAAAAGAGGGTAAAGAACAATCATGGTTCTGTTACTCATAAACCAGCCCATGTAACATTTCAGGCAAAACCAAAACAGCTACGAACTTCTCTCAACCTCCAAGATTAAATAAAGATGATTACGGTACTAAACGGCAAATGGAGGAAAAATCTTAGTGTATCGACAAACCTTACATTGCCCCAGTCCCATCTTCAGTCACCTTGTTAGCTTGAATGGTACTAATTACATTTGACATGTTAGCCTGGAAAAGGTAATCGTCAAAAGAATAGTTCCACCAAAAATAAAAAATAGTTGGCATATACTAGCTTTTCGTGGAAGGTCCCTAGGAAAACACCAGCAAATGCAGGCCATAGAAGACTAGCAGTGTCTTTATTTGGAAGGAAACTCCACTCTTTCTTTTGAAAATTATTCTTTTAGATTGCTTGAAGTTCTTTTTCAGTGTCAATATCATAGTCTTGTCAACATAGTGAAATTATTGAATGTTGATTAGCCAAAGGACATTATTATTTGACTTTTAAACACAGATTTGGATGATTCACCAAGACGCAAGGGACCAAAAGTGGATTAAAAAACACACAGAATGAAGGGAGTCCTTACCCTCCATGTTGCTAACTTTGTTCGGAAAGTTTGCCACTGATGCAGACCAAACACGCGCTCAACACAGTGGCTACAATGAAAAAAACAAGTAATAGACCAAGTAAATGATAATGTCCACAGCTTTATTATAGCATATAGAAACAAAGAACACAAATACCCAAAGAGATAGGTAACTTTATAGTGCACCTCACAATTACAACTTGATTCATATGATCAATCTTACAGTCGATTAGCTTTGCTGCAATTGCCTTAACTACCCATGACTCCACCTCATCATCATTAATCTGCAAGGAATCCCAAGCCAACGTGATAAACAAAGAAGTAAAAAGCAACAGCCGCTGATATGGGTAAGGAAAAGCAAAATTACCCGGAGAGTGTCCTTAATTAGAGCATAAGGAATTTGGCCTGATTCATCAGAGCCAAGATCCACCAATGACATCAACCTCATCTTTGCTATACAATCTTCATGGACAAGACCTACGCCATCCAAAGAACACATTTCAGTCTAAAAGATTAAATATATCCAAAATCTGAATCTTAACCCAAATAGCAGCCTAAAATTTATATGGCAAAACAGCAAAAGGAGATATTTACCA